GGGCGGGCCGGCCCTCGGCCTGCCCGCCGCCGCGCTTCGGAGGGTAGTGAAAAGAGTGAGTATGTAAAAGCTTTTACTGCGGGTTTAATTACGTTTTTCTTATGTCGCGGTAGTAAAGGTTACAGTTAACAGGCTCAGTTTTTTAAAAAATTTATTGGTTTCCCCTTATTTATCCTTTCCTTATAGGCCCCTCAATGGCAGTGCCTTTAAGTCCCCCGGTTAATGGAAACCAATGACACTTAATGCGAGATTTTGCAGAGCAAAGCCCCATAGCGCTGACCATTGTTCAGCGGTTTAACCAGCTCAGCGGCGGCCGGTCGCTAAAACAGCATCCTTCTCCCACGGGCGCGACCCTGCTGCCCGCCGCCGTGGGACCCACGGGGTTGGCGTTCGCCCCTGCGGCTCCGAAAGCGCCCGGCGGGAGTTGGGGGTCTTTGCTGGGGAGGATTGAACTCGCCATCGACCAGGCCATGGGACCTGAGGGAAAAAAACCTTAGCTGAAGGATTGCCCCTGTCCTCAAAAGTTTCAAAATAAACCTTTTTTTAATCATTAGCTTTTCAAACATTTGCGTGTTTAAGTTTTCGAATGTTTGTCAGAGCCCGGAAAGATTTAAAACACAGCTGTTGCGTGATGCGGGTGGGAAAACTCCCTCCGGATTAAAAAAAACCCCAAAGACTATCTGTAGTCGGATAGCAAGAAATTCGGTTGCCTAGGTAATCCGAAACTGTGACCGTGGGGCTGTTTGCTTGAAGCGGCATCACCTTGGCATCCAGGTGCTCTAGTCCGAACTGTGATATTCCCCTACGAGAGGGTGCCTAGAGAAAGCCTTCAGAAAGTCCTGTAAGGAAGACGCGGCGTGAAGCAGCCGCCACGTTCAACTAAAGTGCTTAAGCAGCATAAGATAGATTTTATAAGGGCCAAACGGTATTTTCTTATGGAAAGTAAACTTGTTGAGCAAATCCACAGCAGTATTACTTGACAAAAATTACCATTTAATAATGCGCAAGCCGATTACGCGCACAGAACTTTTAAAGGCAAATCGGCAAAGAGCCAAATTCCTATAGGGGCTAGGAGGGAAATGATCAAAAAATGGACATGAAATAAGACTTCCTGTAAGAAGGTCCATAATTCAACATTATTTGACTCCACTGTCAGGGACATTGTTGAAGGATAGTAAACTGATACTAGAGTCTCAGTCGTTTTTGTTACAATCTTAAATGTTTGCAACTGTGGCATATTAGATGGCCCTTCGTGGATGATAGTAGATCATAGATATATATGTATATAATAAAGCAACACTGCTATTTATGTTGCAGTAGATTTTTTTTTTAATGCGCGCAGTTGCAGAGTTTCTCTAAACAAAATGCGGCTAGACAGCAGCTTTTTTTAAAATGGAAAAATTACTTGAGATGTGTGGTTTACAAAGAAAGAATCGTGAACTGGGGCACGGTACGTAGCGTGTCTGAAGGTGGATGGGTTGTTGAGACCATCAACCAGTTATGACTAGACTAACTTTCCCAAATACTATATATTAGCTATACCTTGCAGCCAATACAAAAGTAATGCCTGAGGGGGGAAAAAAAAATTATTGAGAAATACTGTTTTGTTTGGGGAGTTCTCCGCAGGTATTTTCGAATCATGTATGGTTTTAAGCAGGGGGAGCTAAGACTATTACTGCCTTCGGTACATGTACTCCCACATTAGAGGAACAGGCATCTAAGTAATAGATGCGGTGCGGAGGGTGCAAGGTAGAATTCATTTCTGTGTAATAAAGAGTTACAACCAAGCAGGACTCTGAGGAGGACCATTAAAATAATGTTTAGAAGACTCAAAATTTAATTTTCTTCCTCCGACTTTATGCCGTCTTGAGTCGGTGAATTCTTTTTTTGTTTGTTTTGAGGTAGTTTATTTTTTCCTCCGGTATTTAGGAGCTGTTACCGTGCCCAGTTTTGGCAGACTGTGTAATGCAAAGACTGTGTGATGTAAAGATAGAGCATGTTGATTTATATTCCGGACCTGTTATTGTCTGAAATGCTGTCCCTGAATTGTATTAGCAAAATAAGGTTTTCCTTGCTCTTTGTTTCTTTAATCAAGTAAATACATTGTTAAGTAGATAGGAGATTGAATATATTTTCTTTAATTTATGGTTCCACTTCAGTTCAAGAATATTAGTTGGGTTTTGGGTTTTAAATCGTTTAAGACCCCTGTGTATCCATCCTAACTGCTGGGTATAGTATGTGCTGCCTTCCCTAAGCTGCGTGCTCAGGCCTAGCTTCCATATAAAGTTTTTCAAACTGAAGTTACCTTTTGTTGCAAAGGACAGTTGAATTTCCTAGGTTTTTGCATCCTTTTCAATATCAAACCTGGCAGAGCTGAGTTTAAACCCCAGGGAACCCTGGAACTCGTCCGACACGTTTGCGAGCGTATCCCGAGGCGTTCCTGTGAGCGGGAGCTCACGGCGTCTTTGCAGCGCAGATGGTGATTTTGGGGCAACTTGGAGGTTTGCAAGGAAGTTGTGAAAAAACCAAGTTTTACTTTAAGTTTCGGCTTTATGGCTGAGGGTTGGAGTCTTCCCTGGCTGCTCGTCCGCAGGTAGCGGTGAAGGTAGTGGGCTCTGCGCGCGGAAGGGTTGCTGCAGCCCGCGGTGGGCAATGTTAGAAAAATCGGATTATATCGCACTCAGTCAGAACGAGCAAGCGTAGGTCGTGCTGATAAATTCTGCTGTAAAAAGCAGCGAAAATCCGGCACAGCTTCTTTAAATTAGGGAATCTCTTTTTTGTTGTTGTTGTTTTTTATTTCTGCGTTTGGGGTTTTTTTTTGGTCACATGAGCATGCAGTTAGGAGCTATCTTGTGTAATC